GCGTCATGGCCGCTCGGCATGTCTCCTGACCGCCGGTATTGATGTTCCTAGACCCCCAAAAAAGCACGGCGGTAAATTCCCTTAGACAACTTCTACTTTTTCCTTGGAACTGTGTTGCCAAGGGACAAAACAATCCAACAGTCAACTAACGTCCTGCATCTGACACAGCTGCCTGACGCTGTGCCTCTTCAGCTTCAAGACGCTGAACGCCGGCAAAGAGTTCCGGCAGCAGAGATCGAGACACTTCGAACTTCTTGCTCGCGTACTCCCCAGTATAAAATTGCACATCCTGCATGTCCCGAAACATATCCACAACAACTCTGTGCAACCGCGCGTCCAAGCTCTTGTCCTTCTTTTTGCGCTCCCCGTCTGGTGGCTGTGCGTCTCCGCCCTGCCCGTCTCCATCCTCTTCATTGGCAGCCAATTTCTGCAAATCGGCATCGCAAAAACCACGTCCCAAGTATTTCACGTCGACGTTGCACCGCATGCTGACTTGAGCTATGGGATTCGACATGCCTTCGAAGGGATGGTCCCGTTGAGGTTGAAAGACATGGGGGTTCTCATTCTTCATGGCCTCCTCTTCCTCCAATGGAACATTTTCACGTGGTAGAATCATAAACTGCGCACGCTGAACTCGAGGCCATCCCTTTAAACAACGCGCGCGCACCTTCTCCAGTCCAGAGTCTTCCGTTTCTTTGTGTAGTTCGACGTGGAAGCAGCCAAATCGACATCCCCGCTTGCCTTTCGCAGCGTTCCTGAGTCAACGTTGCATGGCCGTGTCAACATGCTCGGTGACCGGTGCAGATAACGTGCTCGGTGGGCGGAGCAAATCAAACACACAACTATTATCCCTGTCCGACACTGAACTAATACTAATGACATCGGATCCGCATAACCACGTCCAGGCTACAATGCTGATGTCGTGAAACGAAAACGGCGACATCTGAACAAAGTGTCCGAGGTGTATCACAAAAAAAAAATTCTGTACCCGCCGAGGGTCTTCTTGAAACAAGACTTCGTGCACTTGTGGAAGTGATTCTGTATGACCAGCCGACGATAGTCGCGACAGAGGGCGCCCGACCAACTGGCCGCGTTGAAAGCAGCGGCCTTGCTCCTCCTGACATAATGTGGACGTAGTGAAGCGAAGCATCCGGTCAGTCGGAGAGGTGTACTGGACTCCGTCGCCGCTTCGTGGCCGTCTGGCTCCGTTGACCTCAGTGGCACGTCGCTGTATTGCCTCCCACACGCAGCACGCTGATTTTCGCTCAGCGGTGGTGGACAGACTTCTTGTTCCAACTGCTGACTGAGAGCTTGCTGGCTGTCGTAGCGAATACGGCTGGCTGCTTGTAGGACGGCGCGACTCCAGCGTTCCAACTCAATGACCAGTTCTCCACGCGCTGCGGTGGCCAAAACAGAGCGAAGGCGATTGCCCAAGTCGTGCCCCAAAAGCACAACCAGAATATGTGGGTGCATGGAACCGCGTCCTTGCGTCTCAAGAGGGCCACAAAAGGCTGCCACATCTCCAAAGCAACCAGCATGAGTGGAAGCAGCAAAACCATCTTCGAAGTCCCTGGCAAGACCGCCTCGGAAGCTGGCGCGGGTAAGCGGCGGCAACGTGCCCAATATCTCCTCAAAGAACAAGGTCATCATCACGTCAAAAAACCTTGCTTGAGAGACTGGGTCGGCAGCTAGAATGCGACGCATTGCGCTCAGCGAGGGCAGCGCTGGTGCCTCGAGGTCCCAGGCCAGGTCGACCTCATAGGCCTCGACTCGCGAGCCCCCCTGCAGATGCAATTGCAAAAGCAGAGAAGCTCGCGAGTCCGCCAAGTTCGGTGTCACAAAAATGTGACTTGGGCCGTAATGCCACCCAGCTGCGTGGCCTCGCAGACGGATCTGAGATCGGTGACCTTCTGTGCCCAAAACGTTGGAACTGGCCTGCAGGACACTACCCAGTGCGCGCTTGAGCGGCACGTCCACGTCCGGGGAGCGGAGCAACTCGCGGATGTCCGCTTTCTCCCCGTGCAGCGCCATAGCCTTCAGGAGGTGCTCGGAGGTCACGGAGGCTATAACCGAGCAGTGGCGGCCGAAGCCACTCCTCTTGACATAGGCCTTGGAGGTCCGCATCAACGTCAAACGACGTTGGACATCATACATCGTCGGGAGCAACTGCTCCTTGGGTGAGCGACGCGTCGGTGCGATCAAAAGAATTTATAAATATCTATTCCTAAACGATAGTAACTGCCAAAGACCCCAAAACTATACAATGTCCGAACCAACAAACAACTCAGCCACAAAAGACATTAACCAAAAATCTGGTCCCAAAAAAAGATGTCCATTCCTACGGTCACCGCGACGCAACCACTCGTCGTCCCGAGCGGCCGACAAACTCCATCGAGGTAGTGCAGGGACCTCATCTTCAACACCTGCGTCACCGCTGTACTGGAGCTCTTCGCGTAGGAGTAAATAACGAAACACTTCAGAAGCTTCCATGCTCGTCTCTCTCTTCAAGAAAGGCACCCCGTCACCCCAAGGGAACAACGTAGGAAAAGCCATTGCCCAGGTCCCTGGCTCAAACATGCTCAGAGGGGTATCTCGAGAAGGCACCACCAACTTCTGTGGCCTGACCTCAAACATTTGCCCTTGCGCTTGTCGCTCTGTCTCCACCCCATGCGCGGCCACAGTCTGGACCTGCCGGATGCGACGAAGGACTCCACGTTCGTGCGCACCTTCTCGACCCAGTAGATTTGCTCCTTCCATCTGCGCAGCATCCACACCCAGGTCATTGTTGGCCCGATTGCGCACGACCAGCTCTGCATCAGTGTCATACTGTCGAGGCTTTCGACGACACAGATCCTCCACATCTCGGCAAACCCGCAACCAACGATTCTCATCGTCCGAGGTGTCATTCAGGCCGACAATGCTGGAAATCAGATGACCTGACCAAGCAGGAGTGTGCCAAGAAGTTAGCCAAGCAACGAGAGATCACTATCTGTATATGTCTATATAGAATCAGTAGTTTCAAATGTGAGACGACGATCTACCAACCCACAGACCAAACGCAACTGTCCTGAGTCTTCGTGTGCTCGCTCGCCGGACTCTGCAGTGTCCTCCGCCATGCCAGCGTCGTCCTCCTCCTGCTGGCTGCTCTCTTGGCCTTGAGCGTCCGCCGGTCCCCGTTGTAAGAGCTCTCTCGCCAAATAGCTGTCTGCGTCCGTCTCAAGGACACAGCCTTCAAACATAGTCTCCTCCTGGCCAGACCATCGACTGAGATCGACCGCTGCCTCCGCGTAGTACTTGGAAGTTTGTCGGAGGCGCTCCACAGCGGCAACGTATTCCTCTCGAGGTGCCTGCATCGTGGCCGACGATCGCAGGTCCCCTCTGTTGTGGCCCACCAAGACGAACAAGATGTGCTCGGCCATGTCCTCTGCGCGGGGTGGCAACACTGCTTCGACTGAGGAAGGACTGGCTTGCGGCAAAAAGATGGTGTTCCCGATGAAGCCCTTCTGCCGTTCGGCGTGGGGAAGCACCACCGGCTGCAGGACGGTGACCTGCATGCACACACGCACCAGGGGCAAGAGCCGCTTCGTCCCCGCGGAGAGGGAACGAAGCTCTGGCAAGGCTCTGCCAAGCCACAGGTCATTCGCCAGGGCGTGGCGCGGCAAGGTCAGAACCTGGGCTGTCAGGCTGGTGCGGCAGTCCCGGCAAACAGGGGACGGCTGTCGTGCGTCTTCCGGCATGCGCCGCCGGTGCAAGAGCACATATTCACCTGGGAGGAAAGGATGTTCAACGGCAGACTTCTGCAACTCCTCCAAAGCAATGTGCGGCCAGCGCTCAGCATAGCGTGGAACTCCCAGCAGGCGGCAGAGTCGATGCTGCTGGGATGGACGGACTGCTGCATCCACTCCATCCGGGAGCTGTGGTAGCCCTTCTGCTTGGGCAGGATCGGTGAAGAGTAGCACCTTGTTCAACTCATGCGCCCAAAAACGTCGAGCACACACCACACAGGCAGCTTCCACTCGGCCCTCCTCACTCGTGCCTGCAGGGCAACGCAAGCGCTCATCAAAGTTGGCAGCTATTGTCCTCTGTCTGCTCATACCTGGTACCTCAGCGATCATCCACGTTCGGACACACCAAATATGTATCACACATAAAATGCCATAAACAACAAAACACCTCCCATACAACACTATGACATATAAATCACCCACCTGACATGACAAGAAGCAGTTTTGTGTTCATAACATATAACAAGTTTGTCAAAGGCGACGCGACAATCGATATGCGAGCAGCGATAACGTTTCCTTCACTCTAGGATACTGCTTTTCTGAGATGTAGTTCACCAACCACTATGCCCTATGCTTGTCATTGACTACTTGACTGTCTCACAGAAAAACCGGCCTACTCTCGCTTTTCAGCTCGCGACTGGCCTTTGTGCACCGAAAAGATTGTTATGTCTAGTACTTGTTGCGCTTCCGCAGAACGGCGTCCACACAGGACTTGTCCGGAAGAAGTTACAAAGTGAAACACCCAAATACGTCCAAGACATCGACCGAGACACAAGAGGTCCTGCGTGCTCAACAAGAGCAAGAATCTTCTTGCGATACTCAATCAGCATCCGGGGAGTATCTTGCAGCCCGACGCCAGCGTGCTCCTGTGCGACGTGCTCTTTGAAGGACTTTGCATCTGCGCAGTCGGTTGGACACAATCTACAGCAGAATTTCTGTAGGCATTCACCTGCATCCTCAGGGAAAGATCGCAGTAAGCGCTTGGCTAAGGCTTCTTGCACACCAGATACCGTGGGTGAACAGTCCAATCGTCTCGCGACTTGCTCGAGCTTCCACGTGACAGGGCGCTGTGTGTTCGTCAACAAATCAAGACACTCCATCTCGTCTGCTTCTGGCAACCAATGCTTACAGAAATCCTGCAAGGGATGAAACTCCTCCTTGCCCTTGCCCTCTTCTCTCCATCCAGGGATCGAAAACATCAGAGCACGTTCAGCTGCAGACCGCCAGAGTACACCACGCAGGGAATCGCCTTCCAAGGACAAACACTCAACTCTGTAACCAGGCAGCGGCGCAAAGTCTGCAGGATAAGCTTTCTGGAGGGTCCTCACACGCGCCTCCCTGCTGTTGAAATACTTGCCCACCCTCTTCGCCAAGTCTGCATGCTGCTTCTTCTCGGGCAACGAAGAACACCCGTGGAGATCTTGCCAGGCCAACAAGTCATCGTGCAAAGTAACCACCTCCTGGGCAATACCACTGCGGTCTAATCTCGACTCCAAAACGGTCACCGGATTGTGCCACGCACGCAAACTCTCACGACAAGCAGGGTGCAACAAGTGCGCGACCAGAAACCAAGCAAAACGAGACCAATCCTCTGCCTTCTTGACTGCTTCAAAGGTTTCCATCCACGTGCACGCTGTGCTCTCGTCCAGATGTCTTTCCCAGCCATAGCGCCGCATCAAAGTGCGCAACAAGAGTTTGTCTGCCTCATCATATCCACGACTCTTGTGCTTGTGCTTCAGTGTGCCCAAGACCGCCTGCGCAGAGAGACACGGGAAAAAAACAGGCGAACGAACAACCAATCAAAGCAGAAACTGTGTCTCCAAACCAAACGTCCACAGAAACCTTGCAAAAGTCCTCGCTTTCTGCCGAACCCACCTCCAAAACATCTTCTCGATCCTGGAAGCCACTGTCTGGCTCCACTGCTGGTCCAGCTTGATGACATGTGCCCAGGCTCCACAGTCGCTCTGCTACATCCACTGGATCTGCGCGATCCCAGCAATCCACCAACTGCCACCAACCTTGCGTCCAAGATATTTTCGATGGAGACAGTCTATATGTTTGCGACCGAACAAAAGCCAAACAAACATCAGACCCCACAACACAATTCCGGTCCACACGCGCCCGGCCTCTGCGCTGTAGTGGCCGATTCTCCAACAACACAGCCAGCAAACTACTGCACTGCAATCCAGACAAACGGTCTGGCCATCTGATGCTTTGCAGTTGTTCCATCGCAGTGGTCCAAGTCTCTGGCACTTCAGCTGGAAACTGAACATTCAAAGCAGAAAGGTGTTGCAAGATGGCAACGGTGGCCTGGCTCAATTGCTCCAGCTCCGCGGCCGCGCTTCCATGCCTCCTCTCAATACTTTCCAACGGAACATCTTCGCAAAGACTCAGCATACATCGCCGTAGCTGTGTCGCAGGAAAACTGACAGATGCCTTTGCTACGAGCTGCAGGAACGGTCCGGCAATCTGCGAGCCAGCGCCAAAAGTGATACCTCACATCATCTTCCGCCCCGGGCGCTCGCAGCGGACAGAGCGACAGAACGATGCTATCCACCAGCCTGTTCCGATGCATATGCTCGCAAGGTAGGCCCAACTCCGAAGCTATATCCACCAAGGACGGCTCCGCGTTCCTCAGACGCACACCCCTCAGACGACCTCGGAGGGTCGGTGGTGCTTGGTCTCCCAGCTCCTGCGCCAAGCGTCGCAGTGACTCCGCCGTCACCGGTTCCTCCGCCGTGACGCTTGCGCAGATACATTCAACTTGGGTATCATTCAACTTGGATATCATTCAACTTGCAGGGATATCAGAAGCAGACACCTATTGGACCGCAAGAAAACAGAATCTCAACTAAGTTGAACTATACAGCTGCAAATCACAAAACCGTCCTGAGCGTTCGGATGTCCCGGTTCCTGTCAGGGACTTTGCATGGAGACCAAAAGCAGACACCCATCCCCGAATACAACCCTTCCTGCAAAGCGCAGCTTTCCACTATCGAGTCTAGCCAACACCTACTTCAACACAAACAGCTTGTGTGCAAAGTTCAACACCGCTCTACGCCCATCCCCTTACTCCAGCCCTCCTGCGATGAGAAGCCGTCCACTATGGATTCCAGCAGCTGCTCCTTCCGAAGGGTTCCGCCGTCGCGCCTCTGCGGCAGCCCCAACATAGCGGACAGCCGTCGCAAGTCGGTGTTGTTCTTGGCCTCCAACTCGATCCGCAACCACGCCGCGCCTCCCTCCCGGTGTCCGTCTCGCAGGCGCTGCACCTCTGGCTCCTGCTGCCCTGCTTCCTGCATGGGAGTTTGCAGGGATATCAGAAGCAGACACCTATTGGAGCACAACAAAACAGCGTCTCAACTAAGTTGAACTGTACACTGCACCCATCCCCTAACACAAATGGGGTATCTTAACAAAGATTGTTGGGTATCTGAACAAAGATTGAAAGTCTTATATCTAGATGTCTTTCACGAAACCGTCCTCAACGTTCGGATGTCCCGGTTCCTGTCAGGGATTTTGCTTGGATACCAAAAGCAAACACCCATCCCCGAACTGAAAGTCTTACATCAAGATGTCTTTTGCTTGGTCGAATACATCTACACGTCACAAAACCATTGTAACCAAGGTTGAGTGTCTCAGAAAGCTTGGAAGTCTTGTATCTAGATATCTTTTCCTTACTCGAATACAGCTACAAATCACGAAACCGTCCTCCATGTTCGGATGCGCCGGTTCCTGTCAGGGATTTTGCTTGGATACCAAAAGCAGACCACCAAAAGCTCGTGCGCAAAGTTAAACACCGCTCTACGCCCATCCCCTGACTCCATCCCTCCTGCGATGAGAAGCAGTCCACTATGGATTCCAGCAGCTGCTCCTTCCGAAGGGTTCTGCCGTCGCGCCTCTGCGGTAGCCCCAACATAGCGCACAGCCGTCGCAAGTCGGTGTAGTTCTTGGCCTCCAACTCGGTCCGCAACCACGCCGCCCCTCCCTCCCGGTGTCCATCTCGCAGGCGCTGCACCTGTGGCTCCTGCTGCCCTGCTTCCTGTATGGGAATTTGCAGGGATATCAGAAGCAGACACCTATTGGAGCACAAGAAAACAGCGTCTCAACTAAGTTGAACTGTACACTGCACCCATCCCCTAACACAAATTCGGTATCTTAACAAAGATTGAAAGTCTTATATCTAGATGTCTTTCACGAAACCGTCCTCAACGTTCGGATGTACAGGTTCCTGTCAGGGACACGCAGCTTTCCACTATCGAGTCTAGCCAACACCTACTTCAACACAAACAGCTTGTGCGCAAAGTTCAACACCGCTCTACGCCCATACCCTGACTCCATCCCTCCTGCGATGAGAAGCAATCCATTATGGCTTCCAGCAGCTGCTCCTTCCGAAGGCTGCTGCCGTCGCGCTTCTGCGGCAGTCCCAACTCAGCGCACAGCCGTCGCAAGTCGGTGTAGTTCTTGGCCTCCAACTCGGTCCGCAACCATGCCGCGCCTCCCTCTCCATGTCCCTCTCGCAGGCGCTGTACCTCTGGCTCCTGCTGCCCTGCTTCCTGTATCGGAATTTGCACGGATATCAGAAGCAGACACCTCTTGGAGCACAAGAAAACAGCGTCTCAACTACGTTGAACAATACACTGCACC